GCCCCGCGCCCCGCGCCGAGGGCAGACCCCGCGCCGGGACCCCGGAGCCGCCGCGCACTCCTGGGCGCTCGGCCGGAGCTGCGGGGGGCGCGCGCCGTGCGCAGGTAGGGGCGCCGTGGCCTGAGGCTGGGCGGGAGGGAGGCCGGGGTCGCGCGGGCGGTCGCGCTCCTGCCGAGCCCCCGTCGCCGCAGGCTGCTGCCCAGAGCGCGTCCCTCTCCCGGGGCGGGGCTTCCCCGTTTGTCTCTGTAGGTGCGCAGCCAGCACTCCCGGTTTGGGCACCCGGGTCCGGCCCGCTTCATGGGGCTCGGGAGAAGGGACCGCGCCCTCCCGGCTCCCTGGATGGAGGGCAGGGGTCCGGGGTCCGGGTCGGGAGTCTGCTGTCCGTGGTCCGCTGCAGAGTGAGCGACCCCTTCCCAGGATGGCTCCGTGCTCAGCGCGGGGCTCTGCCTTGTCCCTCCCCAGGAGGTGACAGGAATGTCATCCAGGGCGGGGAGGTGGGAGCCCAGGATCCAAGCCTCCCGTGGCCTCTGAGACAGAGCTGCCTTCGCAGGACCTCATCCTGCACCTCAGGCAGCCCCATGACGGCTGAGAGGAAGGCTATCAAAGGTGTTGTTACTTGTATGTAACGTGATGTGTTAGCATGTGTGTATGTGTATGTGGGTGCGTGCGTGTGTGCGTGTGCTGGGTCAGCAGGAGCCCCTTGACTTCCCTTGGTTTGCTTCCGCCATCCCACAGCTGAGGGAAGCCGAAGCCCTGCGGGGTCTCAGGGCCCTGGCCGAAGGGGCAGAGTGGGCCCTCGGACACCCAGCACCCTGAGCCTGGAGCCAGGCTTTGTGCAGTCTCCAGCCCTGCTGCCTGACCTGTGCAGCTCCCAGGCAGCCCTGAGGACATGAGGGAGAAGAGGGGAAATGAGGGAGAGAAGGGGGAATCGGAGCTGCTGGCAAGAGAGCCCCGGGCAGGGTGCCCACCCTGCTGTCCAGAGGGGCAAAGGATGCGGATGTGATCCGCTTGGGCCATCACCCTGCCCAGTGCCAGCTGAGCCCTCTGAGTCACGTGCCAGGGGCTGGGTTTCCAGAGGCAGGAGCTGGGCTTTGGAGCCAGGTAGCCTGGTTCAGATCCTAGCTCAGCCAGTCACCTGCTGGTGCCTCGCCGTCTCTGAGCCTCGGAGTCCCCGTCAGTTGAGGCGTCCCTGTGGGCCCTCCCTGTGGGCTGTGGTGAAACCCAGGAGATGGGTCCCTGTGACGGTGGCTCCTGTTCCTGGGACAGCCTCACCCCATCTTCTGTCTTCTGGCTGCCCTTGGAAGGATCCAGGGTGGGTCAGCGGCCTGCACTTACATCAGGCACCTTGTTTGTTCTCCCTGCTCCAGCCTTCTGGGCTTTGCCTGAGGTTCTGTCACCTTAGGCCTTGCAGTTCCAGGCGGAGCCTGGGCACTTGGAGAGACAGAGCCCAGGTATCCTCAGGCAAATGTGGGCCAGGGGCTGGGGACACAGTGCTATCACCTGGTGTCCAGGTGTGGTGCAGCCCCGAGGCCACTGAGGATCAGGAGGATTTCCCCTGGTGTCTCCTCTGACTCTGGCTCTTATTTCTCCTTCCCTGCCGCCTCTCTAACCCCTCAAGTCCATCAGGTGCTGGTGTAGCTTGCTTGCTTGATCCAGTGACTCTGGCCGGAGGCTGAGGACAATGCTGCAGACAGGCACCCCGGGGGCTGTGGCTCCCTCCTCCCTGGTCTGGAGAGAGTGAGGCCAGCGATCAGGCTCCCTGTAGAGAGACAGGGTTGAGGGTGGGGCTCTTCACATCTTCTCTGAAGGCACCTAGCCGGCCGCATGGGAGGCAGGGAGGTGACCGTTCCTAGCCTTGTGAACCTCCCCCTGCCCACCTCAGTTGTGCCCAGGGCTCCTCCGCAGGCTCCCTGGGGGCCCTTCTCAGCATGGCCCGGCCAGCCTGATGGGCTGGGCTTGAGTGGAGAAGGTCCTGGAGCAGGGCTTTGCCGTTCTGTTCCCTCGTGGGTTATTTATTGAGCACCTGCTGTGTGCCTGGCGCTGCAGCCCCTGTGATGTGTGGATAGATGGTGCTTGGTGTCTCTGTTGGGGACGTAGAGGTCGCTGGCTTGGGGTTTCCCTCAGGCTCTCCCACTGACGGGTGGGCAAGTTCCGTAGCATTTTGATCTTCAAGGTCCTCATTTGGGAAACGGGAAGTGATCTGTGCCTGGGGAAGGCTGTTTCCCCAGCACGGGGCAGACTGCCTGGGCCCACCCTGCTCACTGGTCCTGGCCAGGTGAGCGGGCGATGTCACCTGTGTCACCTGGCTCCTGCTGAGGGCGGGGTGGGGTGACGTGTGGACAGCACCCAGCACGCCCAGCATGTGTTAGCTACAGAACAGGCAGCAGCTGCCATGACTGTTCTGTTCCTAGCACTGTCCTTGGCACACAGTGGCCTGGTCAGTGGTCATCCTGCTGCCCTGGCTCCAGGCTGGTGGTCAGGTGTGTGCTGAGCTGCCCATTGTCCATGTCCCTCTCAGTCCGTTCATTGGAGCCCTGTTGCTAACCAGGACTTGGCCATGATGGGAGTGTCCACCACAGGCCAGGGCTCTTACAAAAGCTGGTTTGGAGCGTGGCTTCCTGCGTGGGCTCTCAGGTGAGGTGAACAGAGGTGCCGCGTGCCAGGAGACCTGCGCCTAGCAGCCCCCACTTGAGTGGCCATGCTCACCTCTAAGGGTGTAGAGCTTGATCTGTTTCAGTCTTGTCTGGGAGGCCAGGAGGCACCCCCTGGAATCTGGGTTCTCCTGGAGTTGAAAGGGAGGCTGAGTTGCCTGCGGCTGTCCTCTGTCTGCGTCCTCTGGGCCAGGCCTCTTGGGGGCAGAGCCAGAGCCCTCCCAGGCCAGGGTGTGTGCTCCGTGGTGGCCGCAAGAGCAGCCCAGACATCTGGTTTAGAAATGCCTGCCGGATCCTTCCCTGTGTCATGTCCCAGAGCCACCAGCTTGCTGGGAAGCCAGGTGGAGAGGATGGAGGGCAGGAAGGAGGGCATTCTGGTGATGCAGCAGCCTCTCTTAGCACCTGGAGCCAATTCTGTCCTGGCCAGGAGAGACTTTGTGGGGGTGCTGGTGCCCGCCTGCGAGCCAGACTCACCAGAGCCCATTGAAGAGGGCAGACGAGCAGGGCAGATGAGTGAGCTGGTGCGGGAGGTGTGGGCAGATGCGTGGCTGGGGCCCCACACCCCCATTTCACAGGTGGAAACAGACCCGGCTGCTCGCAAGGAGGCCCAGGCCTGCGGCGGGAGGGGCGGGGCCAGCGTGGGTGGAGGTGCTCTGATGTTTGCTCCCTCCTTTGGCTTGTGCTGCAGCCGCGTGCCATGATGAAGACACTGTCCAGTGGGAACTGTGCGCTGAGTGTTCCCGCCAAGAACTCCTACCGCATGGTGGTGCTGGGTGCCTCTCGTGTGGGCAAGAGTGCCATCGTCTCCCGCTTCCTCAATGGCCGCTTCGAGGACCAGTACACGCCCACCATCGAGGACTTCCACCGGAAGGTGTACAACATCCACGGGGACATGTACCAGCTGGACATCCTAGACACCTCGGGCAACCACCCGTTCCCCGCCATGCGCCGGCTGTCCATCCTCACAGGTGGCTGGCCTGGGGCTGGGCTTGAGGCTGGGGCTGGGCTTGCCGCTTGCTGACTTGAGGGTGGCACCCCAGTTTCAGTCCTCTTGACTGGTTGCTGCCTTGAGACCAGGACCTGACCCTCAGGCACAGAGGGGTCGATGGCTGCTTCACCTACGGGCAGGAGACCCAGCAGAGCTCAGGGCCTCCAGGGCTTGGCTGCCCCTAGAGAGAACTGGGGAGGACCCCGGGGCGCAGAGGGAAGGGGCTTTGTGCTGGCAGTACTGGCAGTAGCTGAGGACCTGATCTTATTCTTAGAGCCCAGTGTGTGTTTATGCAGTTCTGACAGTTGCTCCTAACTCAGGAGAAAGGTATTTACCTCCACTGGACGAGTGGGGAAACTGAGGCAGCAGTCAAGAACTTGCTCCAGGCAGAAGCACAGTATGGAGGTGGCAGCCAGCTCCCTTGCTTTCCACTGTTTCCCACAGTTTCCCACCCTGACGGGAGACCAGGAGGGCACACCAGGGGCTCCCAGACATAGCCCTGCACCAGCCGCACTCCGGGGCCTTTGTTGCTCTGCCTGTTTCCTTGTCTGGAGCAGTAGCACTGCGTGGGTCCTGTCCTGGGCCTTGTGGGAGCTCAGGTAGTGCATGGGAGGCACTGGTGAGCAGTGTGCCCTGACCCTAAGCTGCACTGGTGTTCCTAGGGTGCCTGCTGCAGCTGGGGCCGCCTCCCTAGCTGGTCCCTCCCATGCCTGGCAGGCTGCGGCAGCACGCAGGTGACTCTCACCATTGTTGATGTGTCCCCAGACCAGACACCTCTGGCCAAGAGACTCACACTTGCCCACACTGCCCTCATGTTGGCCAGGACCTGGGGTCCTGGGGCCTGGGTTGTTCTCGGGCATCTGTGTACAGAGGGAGTGTTTGGCTGGAGGAATTCTGGTGGGTCTGGGTTCCTGTCCTGGCTCTGCTGCTGAGCGGCTTAGATGTGGGAAGGGAGGCAGGTATGTGGGAGTCCTGGCCTTTCCCACTCTTCCATACATGGTTGTTTCATGGGGTCAGCTCTCCCAACCTGGGGGGCCTGGTGCCAGGGACACAAAGGGTGCTCAGGGTAGAGGGAGAGGAGGTATGGCCCGGGACCACATGCATGCTTTCAGTCACACAAATAATACCAGGTGAGTTCTACAGAAGAGGCCAGAGCCCCTTGCATCCCTGTCTCCCCTTACAGGCTCTGCCTCCCCAAGGTGGCCGCTCCAGGGCCTGTCATGGGCTCTTCTGGCGTCTCGAGCACATTGACATTCAGATTTGTGTCCTGGTGGTAGTGGGAGCCTTTGTCTGTCTGTGTTCTGTGCATGTAGCATTCTGAGCACATCTGTCTGCTGTTGCTTTTTTCGATCAGCAGCCCGGCCTTGCTTTCTGCTCTGGTGCTAGGCGCGGGGCATTCTGAAGCCATTCATGCTGCAGCCAGCCCTCTCAGCTGCTGGCACGGGTCTGGTGTATGGCATCCAGTCCCACGTTTGGGGGCTGAGGTCAGCGTGAGCAGCCTGTGGTGCAGCTTCTGTCTGTGCCACCTTGTAGCCAGCTTCCCCGAGTACTGCTGTGTGATCCCATGGCGGGGTGTGCCCCGACTGCTGCCCGGAGCTCGCACACCGTGCGTGCGAGGGGGAGCTGGTGGATTTCCATTGGATTCTCCTGCAGACTCAGCCTGTGACCGGCGCTGCTGTGCCTGTTTTCTGGACTATGAGATGGGGACCCTGGATCTACTGACAGCTTTGTTAAGAGCTTAAGCAAAATCGAGGAAAGGGCATCGGATGAGGTCCGATGCTGCTGCAGTTGTGATGATCTAGAAGTTGGGATGAGGCTGCCTCTCCTGACCCCACACTGTCCCCTGTTCTGACTCAGCCGGGTGTGGGTGGTACAAAGAGTGACCACCTCATCCCATGGGTGTCCAGGAAGCAGGCACACTGTGCCAGCCGAGGGCAGGACAGGGTTGCAGTGCCAGTGGAGCCCCATTTGAGCTGTGTGGGTTGGGCTTGCTGCTTGTGCTTTCTGGGTCTCCCTGCTCCGGGGAGCAGGGCGGGAGTGTGAGGCCTGTCCTCGTCATGACACACAGAGCAACAGGGAGGCAATGTGCCCAGTGAGCATGCCCTGCCGCTGTGTATCCTGGCTGTTCGTTGGGCTGCCGATGGCTGGGGATGCCTGGAGCAGGCGGCAGCTCCTGTGCATACGGAAATGAAATGCGACTCTAGCAGGGTCTGTGTGAGTCCGCAGTTGCCCCCTTCTGCCCCACGAGGAAGCACGGTGCAGGCGGGCGTGTTTGAGCCAGGCCTTCTGTCAATGTGGCTGAGGCATTAGCCTCCGAGCCTCAGCTTCCTGCCCAGATGCAGGGAGGCTGACACCAGCTCCCTGAGAGCCCATGGGGTCGGAGTTCCCATCCCAGCCTGGGCAGCGGTGCTCGGAACTCAAGCCCACTCTCCCCGCAGGCGACGTCTTCATCCTGGTGTTCAGCCTGGATAGCCGTGAGTCCTTTGATGAGGCCAAGCGGCTGCAGAAGCAGATCCTGGAGGTCAAGTCCTGTCTGAAGAACAGGACCAAGGAGGCGGCGGAACTGCCGATGGTGATCTGTGGCAACAAGAGTGACCGCGGGGAGCTCTGCCGCCAGGTGCCCAGCACCGAGGCCGAGCTGCTAGTGTCTGGCGACGAGCACTGTGCCTACTTTGAGGTGTCGGCCAAGAAGAACACCAACGTGGATGAGATGTTCTACGTGCTCTTCAGCATGGCCAAGCTGCCGCACGAGATGAGCCCTGCGCTGCACCGCAAGATCTCCGTGCAGTACGGCGACGCCTTCCATGCCCGGCCCTTGTGCGCACGGCGTGGCAAGGACGTGGATGCCTACGGCATGGTCTCACCCTTCGCCCGGCGGCCCAGCGTCAACAGCGACCTCAAGTACATCAAGGCCAAGGTCCTGAGAGAGGGCCAGGCCCGAGAGAGGGACAAGTGCACCGTGCAGTGAGCAGGGCACGTGGGGGTGCGGGGGCTTAGGCAAGGGCTCAGGGAGGCGGCTGAGGGTCCCGCTGCCCACATCCCTCGCCAGGAGTCCGGTCTGGACCCTTGGCACAGGCGTGAGGTCCCTTGAGGCACTGAGCTCTGCGCATTCTCCTCCTGCCCTCCCGTCCCCCAGTCCTCTCTCCCCTGCTGCCCCTGCCTGTCTTCCCCGGGGAGGGCACGTCTCTGGACACAGGCAGTGGGGAGAGCAGGGACCAGGTTGGTGGTGCGTTCTGTCAGCAGCAAAGCCTTTGGAGCAGGTCACCGGGCAGAGGTTGCCAGCACTCTTGCGGGTCGGGGTGGCGTGGTGGGTGCATCTGGGGACCCTGCCCCGCCCTGCAGAGCTGGCCCTGGCCTTCGGTTCATCCATCCAGTGGGCTGAGGGAGCCTGTGGTCTGCCTGCTCCTTGGCCCTGCCAGTCCTGTAGCTCCTCAGCCTTCCCCAGGTTCCTCTACCCAACAGCGGCACCAGGTGTTTGCTGCTGTGCCTTGTCCCGAGGGCAGTGGCCCAACCTGGCCAGGTCCCCGTGGTGCAGACCCAGCGTCTCAGCCAGGGACTGCTCCCTTCCACCCAGGCAGCAAAGTGCCTCCTCCCCCAGCTGTCTGCTATGGATCAGGCTCTGCTCTGAGCCCACATGGTCCCTGCAGCTGGTGCAGGGCAGAGCTCCACCAGAGCCAGGCTGGCCTTCTGGTGCCCATCCTCATGCACTTACTGAGCACCTACTGGGTGCTGTGTGCACCGTGTGCTGGGGTGAGGGCACACCCTCTCCACCATGACTGCACACATCTGTTGGGAGGAAGAGCAGCAGTGGCTGGGCTGTGGCCAGGGCAGGTGGCACCATGTGCCCAGCCTGGAGGCGCTGTGCCTGTAGCCCATGTCAGACCAAAGGCCCATGTCATCAGTCTTGTCAGAGAACCTTCAAGATGCTGAGCTTTAGGGTCTTGAGAAGCCGCAGTGTCATCTTGAGAATTTCTGAGGCCCAGAGAGCTGCCCACCAGCCTGGCTTCCCTGGGGGCTGTGAGGGCACAGCAGGGTGGCTGTGGCCCGGGGACACTCACAGGGGCGCCCCTTTCCTGGCTCCCTGCGCCCCGGCCCCTGCCCAAGTGGTTGTAAGGCTCTTGTGACCCCATGTACACACAAGGACACAGCGACCACCTGGCCCAGCTGGCTCCCCATGCTCAGGCCCTGCCTGCCGCTCAACACCCCAGCTCCCAAGATCCCGCTTCAGTCCCCACCTGGTCCACTCCCTGTGTGGTCCCTTGGAGCAGGCCAGGAACTGTGTCCAGACAGGTGGTGGCCCGGCCCTCCCTGCCCTTCACCCAGCACCCTGACTTCTGTATACATCCATTAAAGTGGGTTTGTTAATGCACCAAGAGTCTGGCACTGGCTGTTCCACGAGGTAGGGCTGCTTCTCCGTGCCCCTTGGGGTCCTCTCCCTGGCAAGCGTGCTACTGAGTCATCTCCACCTGTAGGCCCTGTTCTCCGCGGTTGGGGTTTACAGCACCCAGCCTGGCCCTTCAGGGCCTCTAGGGTGTGGGAGCAGATGCCCTCCTCCATGTCTCCGGGTCTGGGTTGAGACATTGGCGGTGTCTGGAGTCATTTTGGTTAACAAAACCAGTTGGGAAGCCGGGTCCCAGCTCCTCGGGAGGCTGAGGCAAGAAGAAACCAGTTGGGAAGCCGGGTCCCAGCTCCTCGGGAGGCTGAGGCAAGAAGACTGGATGTTCAAAGCCAGCGCAGTCACCTTAGCAAGACATTGTGTGAACAGAGCCCGCCAGGCCGGCAGGAAGGGCGGGCAAGGTGCAGCTGGTGCCAGTGAGTGGGGAAGGGTGCTGTTTGCAGTCCCAGTGCACAGGACACCTCTGACAGTGTTTTCTGACTGTGTCTGTCTGGCTGCAGCTTCGCCCGGACACCACTGCTGTGCATCCAGTGAATGGGAGGCAGAGGAGGCCCCGCCCTGAGCTCACTGGCATCCCACAAGCCCAGGGCTCCTCCCGAGCAGAGGGTGTGTCCCTGGGAAATTGCTCCCCAATGCACCCCACTCCCTGGGCAGGTGCGAGGCTCGGATGGACGGGTTGGGGACCTGGACAGTGGGGTCTAGCCCGGGGGGCAGGCGCTAGAGAGCCAGGTCCCGGCCTGCCTGGGGCCCTCCTTGCCCACTGGTGGGGTCACAAGGTGGGGGAGGTGGGACAGTACCTGCCTCTGCCCACTGGGTCCTTGGCCCACCCTGGCCAGTGAAGGTTGGTGTGGGACACAAAGCCCTGTGCCTTTGGTAAACATACGGTGTGTGCTCTGGTGTCCCTCCCTGGCCACCCTCGCTCCAAGTGGACAGTGGCAGACAAGGTGGGCAGGACAGCCTGGTCGTGAGGTCTCTGCAGGGGATTAATATTCTTGGACACAGCACCCTCCCCATTGTCTGGCTCCACTCCAGGCTCCCCTTGACCCTCAGCCCGGCACGGGTAACAGCACACTGTGTCCGGGACGCAGCCTTCCCAGCCCGGGACCGAGAACGGAGGGAGCCGGGAGCCAGTGGAGGCAGTGGCCTCTAGCTGGGCGTCCTGCGAGTGTGCTCTGCGTGCCGCTTGGTCTCGGCTCCCTGAGCCTGTCACAAGAGAGGGGAGTTTCTATCCACGTCCCACCTGGGGGGTGGACGGGAGCCACCTGTGGCTGAGCCACCAAGCTGCTTGACGGCAGTGGAAGAGGCAACCTTTGCCAAGGACTGGGGCACCGAGCCTTGGGCTGGGGCCCTTTCCCACATCCCCTCGGGGATCCTCGTGGCAGAGCTATGTGCATGGAACAGGAACCCTTTGTAGACAGGAGGCTCCAAAGCTGAGAGGTTGAGTCTCTGGCTGGAGGTTGCCTAGCAGAGAGATGAGCTGGGCTGGGGTCTGGCCTGGTCTCAAAGTGTGTTTGGTCCCCAGGGTTTTTAGAGGCACAGGTTGAGGCGGTCACAGTGGGCTCACGGGGCTGCTGGTCACAGCCTTGGCCTCTCCACCTTCAGGCTCCTCTGTCTCTGGAGCCCCTCACCACGGCTGCTTACCTCCACGTGGGGCCCTAGTGTGCAGCTGCCCATAAGAGCCCTTTCTCTGTGGACACAGAGCATCAAAGTCATCTGGCCCACCATACCCTCCTGCTTCTCTGCCTGTGTGCCTGGCTGCAGGGCACGGTGCAGTCTGACCTCTAGCCTTGAGGCAGATGCAAGCACCCAGCAGTGCTTGGGCATTCATCTTCCCCCATCCTACATGAAACTTGGCTGCCCAGAGTGGTCTCAGCTGCCTTAGCAAGTGACGCCACGGGCATAGAGCAGCAGGAGGAGCCTGAACTGAAGGCCTTTGGCCTACGCCATGACCGAGTTTTCAGTCCTTATCTGAGCGGGAGTCCTTCCTCCCCTGGCTGTGGTCAGCTGCATAGAGCTGGAGGAGGGTGGTCACTGGCTTCCCACTGGCCTTCGGCCCTCTGCCACTTCTGGATTCTTCCCTCTATTCTGGGGTGGGGTGGAGGTGCAGGGGAAGAGACCAGTGGGGCATGAAGGTGGCACCGTGGGGAAACGGTGCTCACTCAGGACAGGGCAGGGCTCAGGGATGGGGGCAAAGGCTCAGGAGCCTGAGCTGTGAGCCCTATTAGCCTGGCTGCCTCCTCAGGGACCTTTCCTTCTGCAGCCCTGGGATACTGCTGTTCTCTGGATTCTCTGCCTGGGAATGCTGTCTTGGCCAGGACAAGTGCAGCCTATGGCGATGTCCTCTCGGGCTCCCCTCTTGTGCTGTCCCTGTCACTTCCAGGCTTGAGCCTCTCAAGGCCTGGCCTGGGCCCTTAAGGGGTGGATTTGCGGGGTGTTGGGTCAGGCCGGCCCAGGATGCTGTGTGGTGCACATGATGCTGGCCTGCAGGGCTTTGGGAGTGCAGGCGTCTCATGGCCCCTCAGGATTGGGCCGGGATGGTCAGAGGCTCTGTTGCCTTGGTGTCTTTCTCCTGATGGATGCTGTTGGTGGAGGCTCGAGGAGAAGGAAGACGCCAAGGGGAGGAAAGGACTCTGCAGCCAGGGGGCGGCTGATTTGCCCCAAGGAGGCAGGGAGCTTCGGGAGCCTCTGACCTGCCTTCCAGGGCTGTTGGCTTCCTGCAGTGTGGCCTGCTGAGGACAGTCTCCAGAGAGCACATTCTCAGCTTCCAGTGTTTTCATAAGAAATTACACCGGAAGCAGAAAGCTGGGATCTGTGCTATCCACAGTGAGGCAAGCAGAGCCTGCTGTGCTCGGGAAGGGGAGTGGAGCTCTGGGACAGCTGGAGGGAGGGGGGCCCATGGGACATCTAGTATTTACTCCACAAACAGAGCTCTCTCTGTGCCTAGGGCCCAGGGAAGCAGGTCCTGGCTCTGGGCAGGAGGTGAGAAATCAATGGTGACCTGGGAGGAAGCTTCGCAGACGCGGTGACAATCTGAGCTGCCTGAGAAGGCTCTACAGAGTTTTACCAGGAAGTGCTTCCTGGAGGTGGGGAATGACATTATTCTGCTTAATAGAAATGTAATTATGCTTAATATAAATGCTCAGCTTAGTCCCAGGCGTATCATCAGCTCTCAATGTAGATGAGCCATTATGAGATTATTAATAATTTTCTCATGCCTATAGCGGACTCCCCCAACTCTCCTCGAGTGTTTGGATGCGGATCATTGCTGGAGGCCCTGGCTGTCACCAGAAAGCAGGCGGGGATCTATAGGAGCCCTGTGGGGCAGTGCTGTCTCCCAGAAAGGAGTCGCACACGGCTAGGATGGCCAGCTGGGTCCTGGCCCATACAGTGTGTATCTGGGGTGTCGGGGCCCGTCACCTGGGGACCGGCCTGGAGCTCCTCTGTCCACTTTCCTTTGGCATGGCTCACGGTGGGGTCCCTGAAGCTGCAGATGAACTTGTGCCGAAATGGACTCTCCACTCTCTCTCATCCACTCCCTGATTCTTTTTCTAACTAACGCCAACACATTCTCAGCTATCTTCATCTTTCTTTCCACTGCTCACACTCACAGATGGAGTTCTTTTGAGGGCATTTTCCAGAAAGAACTGTGTGTCTGTGGGTGGTCAGTGAGCTCAGCCCCATACTGACATTTTTGCCCCAGCAAAACTAAATTATTTCAAGGGCTGGGGATTTAGCTCAGTGGCACTGCGCCTGCCTCGCAAGTGCAAGGTCCTGAGTTTGATCCCCGGTACCGAAAAAACCCCCCAAAAACCCTAAATTATTTCAGCCAAGGACCTTGGGTGGAGATGGCTCTAAACTACATGTTTAATCCTCAATTGTTAGGAATTTCCTTGGCCTCCCAATACCCCTCTCCTCTCAAATGCCGCCTTTGGGTAACCTGAGGTTCCATACACACCTACACACACGCACACATGAATGCACGGGCACCTAGCAAGTGTGGATGTGAGCACACACGTGCGTGCACATACACACATGAGTGTGCTTCTTAATGTCCCTGTGTGCATATACCATGCACATACAACACAGGCATGGTGTGCACAGAGGCCACACGTCTGCCTCACAGATGCACACTCACAGACGCCAAGACACACACGTGCAGGTTCACAGATGGACACCCAAACACTTGTACACATGCACACAGCAGGCACACACTCTGCCAAGAACAAGGGAGGAGGAGGAAGGAGCCACATCATCTCCCCCTCGTTCAGCGGCTTCTTTCCCTTGGCACAAATCTTTGTTTTGGTTCTTTTGTTATTTTTATAGACCATAAAGACCTGGCCTGGAACCAAGTCCCCAGCATTCGCAGACAGGAGATGCAATTTCTAGCAGTGAGTCTGCAGGAACAAAATTGCGTGCACGGGAGCCAGAGCCTTGAGGGCTCCCTTCAATCTGTGGCACCAACTTCCCTCCTGGGGAGACAGCCTGCACCCCTCCCGTGGGGCTCTGCCGGTTCACTCCCGAGGGAGGGCTGTCCAGCTTGAACACTTAGGGTCCAGCTGTCCCCGTGTCACAGGGGAGGAGTTGGGACTGGAAATCAGAGAGCTTTCCCGAGGGCCAGTGCTGTCATCTCGGCTTGTCGATTCCTCCCAGGGCCTCAACCTAGGGCTCTCAGGGGCCCCTGGGGGCTTCCTTGAGGTCACAGAGCTGGAGTCGCTGTGCCTGCCTTCACTGGAAAGTCCTGTGCTTCCAGCCACTTCCAGGAGGGGAGGGGCTGAGCTTTGGGCCCTGCCCTGTGCCCCCAAACTCAGGGAAGAGCGTGGTGTCACCGCTGTCTGATCAGTGTCTCCCCTTCTCTGCCTCTGGATGCCCAGAGCCACTCCCGTCTACGTTCCTGGAAGCTCCTCACGACCAGGGCCTGGGATGATTTGCCTCTTTCTGGGAGCCTCAGTTTCCCCATCTGTACAAAGAGGAGG